GTATTGGGCAGGAATATTTCTACCTAGCACTTCAGGTGTGCCATCGTAGAGTACAGGGCGATCTTTACCAATTCTTTTGAGAGAATAAATCTTGATAATACATCCCTCTCGTGCTAAATATCTTTGATATTGAGCAACTTCTTCTAAACCACAGCCATGGACAGGTAGAATAACTGCAGCCTCACGGGTTAGGCGCAACGCCTCTTCACGTTGCATTTTACCCTTAGAACATCGAATTAGTGACCACTCCTTGTGGAGCTCGCCCTTATCAGCCCCTGCCTTCAATTTTTTAGCATGTACTCTGACACAGTCCGTCTTCGTTGGAAATTTGCAGAACACATTTTCTGCTTAGATCTCTTTTCATCGTCTTTTCAAGAAAACCTCCTTGCCCTGCAGGGGCTTCAGCGACATGAAGTTTGATCCAAAATGTGTCAGCGCAATCAAATTCATTAGCCCTTTGGGCAATAGAACTCACAAGATTCCATAAATCCTGGAACTCGTTACCGTTTATTGCTCGTGGACTTATCCAGGCGTTATCTTTTTGCATATTTGCAAAATTGAAACTGAGGCACATACGATTCATACCACTTCCTCCTGCATCTAGGATTTGACTATAGACATCGCGGAAAGCTTGTTCTACCCACATAGATGGCTTATATCCTTCAGGGACAGGGTTAATTCCAAACTCCATTACATGTGTCTCGAGTTTGAAACGATCGAGTCTCTGACGTGATCTTCGAATTGTTCTCAAGGGAACATGAAGCGTCGCATTGTTGTGAGCTTCTTGATCATCTGAAATATTAAACATTCAATAATATTGCATTGCAGACAAACAAAATAGAAGATGGATATTTTTGTTTTAATGTGATGCTCACCATGAGGTTGATCTAGTAAATCCAAATTAAACTCTTCAACGGCTTCAGACTCCTCAGGATTGTCAAGTGCAATAGCTGTGCCACCATATTGTATATCACCAAACTGTCGATCAAAATTGTCGAAGAAATCCACCTCAAAATTATCTTGAATTTCCGCATCATCGAATAACCCGATATTAAATTGGTCAAGCCAGTCGTAATCGCTATCCAGAGGTGGTGTATTCACCCCGGAATTGTCACCAACGAGATCGTTAGGATCTGACATCGTGAGCTAATTTTAGGATACTGCGGTTTTTGAGAAAATAATCAGTCTATATCTAAAAAGTCAGTGTAGTGCAGCACACCTCAGGGGGGTCTGCATCGAGCATCTCGGTTGACGCCTACACCTGAGCCGCATGACCAATAAGCCGGCTACCTCCTTTAGCAGGTCATTTTTTGGGGCTTACCACACCCTCTACAGTGCAAGGATATACACTATTTTTCTGCTCATTATACAGGAGATATAAAATCTTAAGTTTTACAACTTTTAATCAGACAGCGTCATGGATACGAGGTGGAAACATCCCTTCACTGCAATGATTTGCGGCCCCACAGGTTGTGGGAAAACATTTTTTGTCAAGAGATTCTTGAAAGAGATTAATGAAATGTGCGATACATCCATTGAAAAAGTAATTTTTTACTATGCAGAGTGGCAGAGCGGATATTCTGATTACGACCAAAATTTTGTAGAATTTCGTGAGGGTTCGCCAAGATCCAGGGACTTTGACGATAATAAACCAAAATTGGTTGTTGTGGATGATTTAATGCGTGAATCCTCGAATGGCGCAATAGTCGATTTATTCACAAAGGGTAGTCATCATAAGAATCTCAGTAT